ATACACTTCTTATACAATGAAATACGTACATACAAACAGAAACAACCGACGGAAGGAAAAAAAAAACAACATGCTCATAGACCTCAAGTCTCAATGCGCGCAACGACAACTGTACCGGGTCACGCCAATCTTAATCAATTTACGAAATCATTCGGTTTATGCTAACATCTTCCTCAAATGCTCATTCATGCCACATCCCCATGGCAGTGGAGGTATACGATATTACACTAAGCCTTTGAAAAAAACGAGAAAAATAACATATTTTCTTCGTTTTACCTTATGCAAATTTTCGCACTCATGAATAAACTAACTTCAATTTTCAGCCTTTGGTTCGGCGGTTTTCCTTTTGAACAATATACACCGCATCACGTAACTTGCAAAATTTAAAAGACTTGAATACGCATCTTGACGTACCCTGAGTAACAGTATTTAACACGCCTGTGCAAAAGTTGCTCGAACTGACCGTTCTCCTTTCTCAACTAGATTCTTTTGAATCGCACCCGATGGGGTCGTGGTGCGGGCAGTTTTCGAGCACGCAAGAAGCTACAAAATGCACAAACTCTAAGCAGTGCACTGCCGTCATACCTCATTTTACACTTGGGCCTGTTCCCCTCAGGAATTTGAAAGGGACGCCAGAAACAGGAGGAAAACTGGGGCCACTGTCCCTTTGTGTTCGCCCCGACGCGGTTTTTAGCTTTTGTGATCTTTCGACGTTGACCCTTTCGACAAGGTCGCCTTCCTGAAGTTGTCGAACTAAAACGCGCCTTTCCTTTGGGTAAAGCACCTCGTTTCTCCCCTCTACACCTGGCTTGCCGCTTGTACCTCTCGGAACGCCACCATTGACGTTTCCTGAAACGGATTAATGGCCTAGCCTCTCGTCTTTCTAGTGACTGAGTGGGGCCTGTCCTAGGCTTGCGCAGTGACGAACGCTTCCGCTTCTTCCTTTTTCTGCGATGTTTGCAAACCAGCTCGGTATTATCGCTGCAATGCTGAAGCGTGGCGTTCTTGCTCTCATCAGCCACTGCGCTATACATGCCTACATTTGACGATGTCGAAACGTCCTCTTGAGGCAGAAAGGAGGCTTCTAGCATTTTACTGGGCCCATTAGGGCTGCTGGTACCTTCCTCATTCACGCAAGGAGCGTCTTTCGACATCGTCCCTACCTCCAGACCAGCCAAGGCCTCGTTCTCTACATGCTCTACATTGATGCATTCGAGAATTCGCGGGCCCTTCTCTGGTGCAATCTGTTCCTGTCGCGCTTTATGAGGCGCCTCAACTTCCGGCGCTTGGCGACGCGCCTCACTTTCAGACTCAGGTGCGAGTCTTTCTGTTTCGCGCTTTCTTTCAGACTCTTGTCTGAGCTGCACTTCTTTTGTCCAGACAGACGTTCCCAATATCCGGAGCATCTCTGCCTTAACTACCTCGTTGTTCGCGTTCTGCTGACTGAGCCGCGCAACAGCTTCATTCGCCTCGCAAGGCAGAACCGTGAGTAGCCCTTGACATCATTTGTCTCGCTCAAATGACAGTTTCTCGCCGGCATCGCCGTGCTCACTGCTGGATCGACTCACCCTGCTACCCTCAATGAGGCGAATCTTTAATTGCAGTAACTGCACTTCCCGTTCTCCGGCTTCCCTTGCCGCTTTCCTTGCCGCTTCTCGTTCTTTCGCCCTTTCTTCGCGTTCTCGCTCCCTTTCTTCGCGCTCTCTCTCCCTTTCTTTTTCCCTTTTCTCCCGGGCCCGTGCCCGCTCTTCTCTGGCTAACGCCTGCGCCTGTTCCTGCTGCTCCTTAACACATTGTCTCAGTTCGGCGCCCTCGAGGCCTAACTGTTTACCGTACGCGATCCACTTATAAAAATCCATACACTCCATACTGCAACTGTCGCTATAATGCCACTATAAAAACAGCGCAATCATTGTAGGATGCAACCGCTTCAACTGTGCGGCTCTATCACAACGCTGTCCACACGGTTCTCGTTCACCCCTCACTGTCTTACTCTTGTACGGAACGTCCTGTCTCGCGGACGCCAGTTTTGTTACAAGCTGCCACTCTAGCGTCGCCAGCGCGAAGTCGGCGACGGGAATGACAGCAGGTTGGTTCGTTCCGCATGCAAGCAGAGACAGTGAAGAGATCAGAGACGTGGGAAAACAAAACAAACTTTACTCTAGTGATATTGCAGCACACGGGATTTAATACAACACTTCAATACAACCAACAAAATACATCGACACTTGATACAACTAAAGAAATATATAACAGAAACAATAAATCAGCTTACGCGAGAGAACTATCACAAACTACACAAACTAACAACAATAGAACTACGGAGTAGAAAGTTCGAAGATATAAACAGGTGAAGGCATACGTGTGATGACCGGCAGCGTTGTGTCCCCGACGATCGGATGCGAGAAGTCGAAGAGAGTTCTGGCACGACTGCGATGTCGGCGGTGTTGCAACGCTGGTGGCTCCGGGAGGCTAGTGCTTGCAGGTGACTTCGAGCAGGTTGAGCTAACTCGAAGCGAAGTCCCGATGTCTACGTTGCAGACGTTAATATCGCGTCACAGCTAGACGAACGGCTAAGTTTAGGTGGCCAGCCGATACAGAGCCACACTAAAAACTTCTAGAAGAGATGCTTAATGATCTGTTTCTACACCATCTTGGTCAGCGACTAGTCTGCCTAGCAGGGCAAATACCTGCGCTTAAATCCCCCTCGTGTCTCCTCGCTCTTTTCCTTGGGGACAAGAGACCTCTACCTGGGTCCAATCATGCGCGTTTAATTGAGGGGAAACTCCGCCCCAAATATATTTTGACCCCACCCCTTTTTAATAGGGAGAGGGCCCGCAACTAGCGAGAGTGACAACCTGTCGGGTTGTTGTCATACGGCTTGGCCACCAGAGCGTTTCCCACGCTTTTCTCCGTGGGAACGGTCAACCACTTAGCTCTCAGCCGGGCGTCTTGTAGTCTAATCCTTGTACGGGGTATACCGCGGCCTTCTACGACCTTGCAGACGTCGCCACGGTTACAAAAGGATTAACTGTCGGCGGCGACGTTCTAAGGAGAGCACCCCCATTTTGCACTTATCGGTTCCCTTTCATGTGCCGCCGTTTCTCACGGTCAGTCGGGGAGTACGGCGCCCGTTAATTGCCGTGACGCGGTGTCGCCGAAAATAGCCGTCCGTGACAGTGACATATGTCAGTTACAGCAAGGGCACAGTGGGATTCGAACCCGGGTCCTCTTTGTGACAGTCAAGTATTCTACCGCAAAGCCACACTGGCGCTTGAAAATTGGTTGCGAACCTGCCTTATACCCCTGTCACATCGAAAAAAGGTAATTTGCACCCAATGGCATTTACATTTATTGACATTAGTCGGCTTTCACAGGAGGACGCCTAATGTCATTAAAAGAAAATGTCTTCAGAAAACGAATGAGCTAGCCGAACTCATTCGAATGAGTTTTTGTCGGTAAGATGTACTTTTGCCGGAAGAGGGCCATAAACAGATTATACATAAAAGGGTTAATAAATCATAACAAGTATTTATACGGTTTTACTTCTAATTATTGTTTGATTTATTTGCATAAAATTTAACTGAGGTGTTAGAAAAAAAAATGAATATTTTCGTTCACAGCGACAATCTCAAAAGCTTCGCTGGCCAAGTTAGCCATGTCAGCCATGTGCTCGGTGTTTACGCTAGCCTAGGAGCTCTCAGGTAGCCTGCAGCTGACTCACAGAACCCATGTCTTCCATGCAGTCAACGTAAGTAGATAGCGGCACGCAGCCTGCGTCGAAAGAAAGGGTCCGTTGGACAGAAGCTGAAACTTTCACTCCGATAAGATTATGGGAGGACTACTTAGGAAAGCTGGGACGCGCCAAACGCAACGCGAAGGTTTACGCTTCTTATCCGATCGGCGCGAAAAGTTGCAGCGGCTTCCTCGCACTCCGCCATGTCAGTCATATTGAACGTTTAACACGTGACCCCAAGCATTTTTCTTCCTTCATGAGTCTATGACCCCAAGAGCGATAGTGGCTCCATTCTCGCCTCGACTTCATATGAGCTGCGAGCCTTTCTTTGGATATAAAAAAAACTGCGTATTAACGTTTCATTCTCAATTTCATCCATGTGGAAACATGTTTATAACCTTTAGTATACATAATTAATTTCCCACACACGCTGCGACTGTTAAATGTTCAGTACCGTCTTAGCGACATCGCGATTGCCATCATTTACAAATGACATTATATCTTTCCATGTAGCAGCACACGTCTCCTAATGTAATTCCACTGAAATGGAATTAAACTTTCTCGTGTGACAGGGGCATTAGGCATGCTTGATGTCGACAAAGCAATTGTATTAGTATGAGTAATGAAGCGTTTTAGAGCAGCAAAGGAACAAACAAGCGTCACACAATGCAAATTGCGTAATTAGTGGGTCGTCAAATGCTCCAACCCATTACAGAAGCCTGTTCTTGATAACCTTATAACTGTGGCACATACCCACTGCAGGCATAATTTTTCATCGTCGTTAGCCACTGCATAAAAAATTTAAACAAAATTCTTTGCGAGTGTGTAGCGAATACCACACTTCTCTGAAGAATGACGAAAAATAGCATAGCGAATGCTAGCCTACTACCCTAAAAGTATCATTATTAATGCCGTAGTGGGCATCAAGGAAGATTTCTTGTAGCATTTACCCAAAGAATTACATTAAGCACTACACTTTCCTAGGCTATCAGTAATATTTCTGTTATACCTCCATTATTCCAAATTCGAATAGTAATTATTTAAACCACTCGATTCTTGGCCAATCCCTCATAGTGGGTATGCGCCACTACCAATCGGTGAACAACAACAACAACGACAACGTTTAGAAAAGGCTCTCAAAGGCCACTCTTACGCCTTTCACTTTGGCGGTGCTGCACGTTCCGCGCAGGCCTAGTGGTTTTTTTATCACTGCTTGCTAAATCAACAGACCGTTGTCAGTCTTTCTTTCCCAATTTTCGTGCAGACGAGTCGTACCGTTCTATGTGAAAGCCGAAGAGAACTCCCCGAAGTTCACCTTCACCCTTGACGATGGTGAGTTGAATTCCAGAGTGTCTAAGACACAATACCGTACAATCTAAGACACACGCATCTTATATGCAAGCTTTCAAAAGGAATTGATGCTTGTTCAGAATTTTATTCATCTTGGGCAGACCAAGTGCACAATATGCTAGCGAACAACATTGCAGATCATAGCCACATTATTAGGTACTATATATGCAGAAACAATTACAAATGTTGCTTATCGCTATCATCAGGCATAAGAACCCCACAATCCGTGTTCTGCAGTTTCTCATTACTTACCCCTGGGCTTTCCCTAATCATTGAAAGCGACAGAAACCATCACTTTTAGAAAAAATTCACAGTTTCGCCGCAAAGGGGAAGTAACGAATGCGATAGAAACACCTTGGAATCTAACGCCGAGAACGGAAAGCAGATCGAAACGTGCAGTGCACTGCTGACGCACAAATGATGCACAAAAACAACACAGACAGGACTACAGCGAACAAACAACGTTTACCGCTCGATAATAAAGCGCTGTTTAAACAAAAGCTTATAACAAGCGGTACGGAACCTGCAAAACGTGCATAGATGCTAGATACGTAGTGTGTATCAAGAAACTTTTTGGGTGGCTATGTATGCTCGTGCGCATGTGTTGTCAAATGCAGTGTGTGACTGTAGCAGGGATGATTGCACAAAATCATTTTCACCAAAGAAGTAACGCAATGAATGTGATAGCGAAAATCGCAATGATATACGGAGTGAAGCTGGCAGTCAAATCATTTAGATCTGATTTCACGTAACTCTACAAACCCTAGTGTAAAAGAACACGGCTGCTGCAGGTACACTTTTGGCACCGTTTTTTTTTTCATATTGAAAGTGCAGCCCGCAGATGCTCCCGCCTGCTGGGGGGGGGGGGGGTAAAAGGCAAACGCTGATCATTCCCCCAATATCGTGGTAACCATAAGCACCCCCCCCCCTCCTTGTTCACTTACGAGATAAGCGCGCGTGGACTACCGCGGCCAAAACGGCGATGTTTGCTCTGCATAAAGAGGCTAGCGCATCCTTCCCTGTTTTTACACAGACGTTCATATACATATAGGGGAATGCGGAGGCTTCGAAGGTGACGACGACGACAAAAACCAGCCGAAACTGTTCATATTATTGCTACCACAATAAAGGTGAGAGCTCTGACCCAAAGGCGAAGCAATTAATGTGATAGCAAGAAATTGGAATGCCACACGAAGAATGGCAAGCAAACCGAAATGCGCCCCGCGTTGCTCACGCACGAACGACGCACGTAACGTACTCACTGGTACAGATGAATGAGAATAGGTGTCTCAGTTGTTACTTCAGGTGTGTCTGAAAAGCGTGCCCTTTCCGCAAACGGAGACTGTGAAGCGAGTGCAATGAGCTTTGTGCGCCGGTAACTACAACAGAATCCTTCCGGTTAAAGCCCAAAGCGCAGAATCCTCCCCACTGCGAGATAAGCGTGTGTACGCGTGAGCGCCCCCCCCCCCCCCCCTTTGTGGGGCAAACTACACGTGAGATGTGAACGCATGAGCGCGTGTCACGGCGTCGTGACGATCTTGCGGTTCCTTTCGGCGTGCTCATTCCACGATCTCGCTGGTAATGCTTAAAACGCAATAGTCCCCCGAGATCGGCATCCCCAGCAGTAAGTGGTGGATATAAATGGATTGCCGTTTGAACGTTAGAGGAGGTGCCCCATCGTTTCTCAGTGCCTAACACGTCGCGTTCAAAAGCAAGAGGTTGGGGCGTTCGATTCTGCGCGCCGGAGCCTTTTTCTGAATTATTTTTTTGTGGCGTTTCCACATATATAGATACGTGTACATATACGGAGAATGACGGCACTCGCCGACGTTGGCGGCAAAACTCAGCCAAGAATGTCCATATAACTGCTATCACAGTAATTATGAGGACTATTTACTGGCTAAGGATGTATGCTCCAGTCATATGGCAATACTAAAATATCATTTTAATGGAAACTGTTCTTCCGACTGTGCAACTGTGAGAAAGAACCATGCAGTCAGAAGAAGTACAATTCGCATTGGCTTATATTTCGGAACAGATTGCAACTTGCCTCAAACTGAACGGATTCACTTTCTACCATACCACCCGCAATCTCATGAAGCAATGACCAAAATCAAGTTTGACACGGCTCTTACGCAGGGTGCTGTGGTAATAAAAAAAAAAAAACGGTAGGAAGGGGAACATGAAAGCTTGCCATGAAAAAACCCGTAAACACGGGTTGTGTTCAGACGACGTTTCGACAAGTTGACTTGTCAAAACTTCGGCTTGACACAACCCGTGTTACAGATTTTTTTCATCACAGGGTCCTGTTTCTGTTAGCTCAGATAGAATGTCATGCAATATTGGCAGTAAATTTATGTTTGTGTTGCGATACACTTCAAAGTATTACACACGCGTAATTTTGTAAAAGCTTTAGAAAAGTGTTTTACGACAACATGCATAAAATACTGATATTTGAGAACTACTATTAACTGATAATGCTTGTAAAATGAACGCAATTGATCACGCAATTTCCAGATCCGACTCCGAAAGAAGGCATGTTCTACTACACCGATTACGAAAACTGTGTCGTCGAGGACCTTGAGTACCACAAGCATCGTAAGTTGAACAGAACTATGGGGTTCTGAGGTACTGATTCTATGTATTTCTCGAAGTCAAGTGAGCCATGGCAACATGCGTATTGTCTAGGACGATGAAACAAAAGAGACCAATCGCAATATTCGCACACAGTAGTGCATGCGAGCGTAGACATGCGTACTTGCGCACAATATCATTTTGTTTGCTAAATCCTAGTGTTTCGCATGCCGTTGTCAAGCGACGTTTTTTGTCTGAAAGACAGTCTATAATGAAGTATTCGAAAAATGCTGAGTGATATTTTTATAATGAGGTAGATTGGATGAGAAAAGGTTGCATACGAGAGCACGGAGTTTGAACCAATTACTAAAAGGAGCGCAGTACGAAAATGTATGCTTATACATTCTTCAATATCTGGCCGAGTTCTTGTATTGTTAACAAAGTTATTGTCACTGAAGTTATTATGAGTATGCTAGTGAACCCAGTATATCAACGTTGTTATACAAAAGCTACATTCATTGGATGCGGATGCTCCCATCTTACTGTTGAGAACTGTATGGTATACATCCTTACGTTGAAAAAAATGACTGCTGAAACAATGAACGCAAGACAGCAAGAGTGAATGGATGTCTGTTATTTCCATGTAATCTCTGGAATTCTGATCAACCATTGTTCCTTTATGTCAAAGAACAAAAGACAGCTTCAGAGGGTGAAGTGGTCACACCGTTTTCCTCCGCAAGATGTACAGAGCAGAAATAAATGTAATGCGAATACAACAAGGAAATCACAGGTGATTCGTCGAACAGAAACTCTTTAACTGATTGCTGTTTGTGCTGCTGTTTCTTTCCACAGAATCGGCTCGGATAGCGTATTAAATAAGAGCAACTTTTAAGGCAAACATTATTGTCCTTTTTGAACGAACTGCATGTAACAGCTTTGAATATGTTGATTTCCTGCTTTGTGTACCGTACAACAGAGCGAAGTTTGGGAATATAAAAAAATCTTGCATAAGTTCACAGAAGTTTCTTCTGGGCAAGAATTCACGTACAATCGCCAACTGAGTTTTTGTTAAAGTTCTAGACGCCCAGATTGACCTAAATTTTGATCATACATGTTGGAAGCAATCAGCAAAAGATACAAAGGTCATGATGGTATACGAGTTTGTGGATTCAAAGCTAATAAATATAGAAGTTGCGTTTTTGTGCCTGAACCACTGTGTTCGAACATTCTGTTAGCATAAAATGACGCAGAGCATCAACATAGACGTAAAAATGCTGATGAACCGCGAATTCCCTGATATTGTGATTACGTCAGTGGCTGAAAAGTTTAAAAGTGAAAAGTCAGTGGCTGAAAAGGAAGCAGTTTACAACATTCCCTTAGCATGCGGTAGGAGAGACATCGGACAGGTGGAAAAACATTTAAACCCAAGATTAAGAAAGCATCGAAATATTTGTCAACTAATCAGACATCGGGCCTATCTAGCAACAAATGCATCGCAGTGTAAATGTACGCCACGAAAAAAAATATAATCTTGTTGCAAACTCGCGATAAAATGAAAAGAGTTGTAACAGAATCCTATATGATAACACAGACACATGCCGACGAATGTGGCAGCGCACCCTACGTTGTTTCTTCAAAAGAAATTCACTTAAAAAACAACTTAACTTTTGTTATGCGCATGCCCATGTGAACATTTTTATTTGGACTGGGGCCTTTTTTTTGCGATGGCTTCTTTTGAGTAAACATCAAAGAAAAAAAAAACGCCCTGAAATAACAATAATAAAATATTGCTTAGTCTACACCCTGTGTTGCTGGTGCATGTGTTTAGTGCATCTCTGTGCTATAAAAAGCGCGATTACCGTAAGGGCGGATACGCTTCATCGTTCTATGTCACTTTTTGCATAAATCACTGTCCAATCGTTTTTCTTGACGTAACTTCACCATCATTAACACTGTGTCACAATGCTTCACACAATAGCCTTTTTATGCCACTTCACCGTGGTCTAATATCTATACGGCGCTCGGCTTCTGGCCCGAAAGACACAGGTTTGTCCCTGCTCACGCTTATGTCACTTCGATGGAAGCAGAACGCTGTGGGCCCGTGTGTTGTGTGATTACCGTCAGCATTAAAAGAACCTCAGGTGGTCGCAACTTCGAAAATCCTTCCAGTATATGGTGTGGGAGTCGACTGAGGACATTAAACTTCATGATCCCATGCCACATCACAGCCTACTAACGCCTTCCTATGGCTTCTTTATTCCAGAGTGCGTCCTTTGGGTCAAGAAAGAGCTGGAGAACTCAGTGCCTCAGAGCTGCATTAACTACTATGTCGATATATGTGGCGTTGGTGTTCCCATACACAGCAGAGACCTTTGCAGAGACCAGTGACGTGACTGCTGAAGTAACGCGCAACGCTTCTCAGTGCTTCAGAGTGAAAAGGTTGTGTTAGTAAAAATTTACTTGCTGACAACTGTGGTCCCGTGAACAATAAATTTCCTTTCATACTGATGCCTTCTTTCTGGCGCGCGCTTTTAATTTTCAAATTAATAATTTTGGTCACTTCAGTTGTAATCTCCTTGCATCTGGCAAATATGACCACGCAGTTCATAACAGATACTCGAACACATCCTGCTTTTTTTATTATTAACAAGAGAGTTTACGTCGGCTTTTGAGAAGGGTTCATTGAGCTTGTTATATCAGTGCGTTTTATAAAATCGAGATATTAGGAGAGATGTTAAGGACGAAGATGGACGTTTTCTGAAAAAAATATTTTGAACTAGTCAAATGAACGATGTGATTAACAGGGCCTCAAAAGACTTGGGTTAATATATCAAGAGCTGAGTCACTTGTTCAAAAAAGTAACACATTCTGCTAGTCAAAGACGCTGTGTAATAGCCAGAATTTCAGTTAAATGACCTAGCTGCCAGCATGCTTATGTTTTCAGCGTGATTGGACCAGAGATCTTGCATGGTGACGTAGGTGCAGCAATGCCTAATGGACCCCTGGCGGCGTCTATCCAAAGCTCGTAAAGGTGACAAGCGATACGGTGTACAACTTCATCTCTGTCGAACTTCCTAATAGAGTTTCACACTGATGGGGTTTAGCGAAGTTTAATTGATTGATGCCATGTGACAGAGATATTACATTAGCGCAGCGCCGCCCTCTAGAATCCAGCGGCTCCCGACAACCTATGACACCGACATCTGTTGGCACGCTCGCATATAAATCGTAGTCGGTATTACTCCTTTCAGCCTAGTGTAGGGAGCCTTCACGTGTGCGCCTCGTACATGAAGGCTCCCTAGCGCAATGAAGCACAATACTCCACACAACCTCTACGCTGGGAGAAATTGTTTCTCTTTCATTGACCTAATTATTTTTAATACTGGAAGCTTTGACAGGATCCTAAAGCGTTGGGAACAAAAATAACAAAACACACAGATCAGTACAATGCTTCGGAACCAAGAATAAAGATTAATAAACAAAAATAAAGAGAAAAGTAAAAAAAACAGTACAAGCTCTGAAAAAACTGACACTTCAGATTTGGTTGCACTTCACAATCACACGGCAACACACAGAGAATGAAGAAAAAACCAGGAATGCTCAGCGCTGATTGAACCCTGAATATTTATTACGGTAACAGTTGTGAAGGTGCAAGAACAGTCGACTTTGGGTGGTGTATAAATGTCCGTCTCTTATTACGCCTCATGATGTCCTTCACAGCATTCGCGCACGAGAAAAAATAACAGAATGCAATTGAGTTTTGAATCAACGCAATCTGCCTGGAATTTGAGAATTCTACATGAGCCACGCCGTTGCTTGCGCCGCCGCGGTGATTGATTGATTGATATGTGGGGTTTAACGTCCCAAAACCACTATATGATTATGAGAGACGCCGTAGTGGAGGGCTCCGGAAATTTAGACCACCTGGGGTTCTTTAACGTGCAGCCATATCTGAGCACACGGGCCTACAACATTTCCGCCTCCATCGAAAATGCAGCCGCCGCAGCCGGGATACGAACCCGCTCTCTGCGGGTCAGCAGCCGAGTACCTTAGCCACTAGACCACCGCGGCGGGGCTCCCGCCACGGTGGTCTAGTGGCTAAGGCGACCCGAAGGTCGCGATTGCATGCCAGCTGTGGCGGCTGCATGTTTTTTTGATGGAGACGAATTCCTTGAGGTACTGTGCGATGTGAGTGCTCGTTAAAGGACACCAGATGGTTGAATTTCTGGTGCTCTTTCTTATGGAGTCACTCATAATCTTGTCGTGCTTACGGGACAAATAACTGGTTCTGATGTCTCTTCAGTATGACGACCTCCTTAAACATTGGTACAGACCCAGGAATGGTGGGTCAATAAGTGGTGCGCGCTACGTAAGAAAATGCTCAGGTTCGCATGTCAGTGACATTTCGGTGACGCTGCATGAATCTTAAGATATATACATGTGACTTTGATCTAGATAGCTTTCTTCATTTTGCTTTTTATAGGCTGTCATTATTGATTGCTTTCGTTCATCTTGCGCACGCGCGAAACATTTTTTTCAAGTCATTGATAGTATTAAGAATAACGTATAGTTTGCTATGTAAGAGCATCAGCTTGAGGATTATTATGGCTGAGGAGGAGTGAGAGAACGACTACAGAAAGAGAAAGAAAGGGATAGAAAAAAAATAGCCATACAGAGAAAGAAAAGAAAAAATATACATGGAGACACAGGCATAAAAACTGCAAAAAAAGTTTTTCGAGGCACGGGCAAAGCAATGAGTGACAGCAATAAATTGTAATATCACGTAAAGAACAGTAAGCAGCTCCAAACTTCCAGCACGTTTTGGAGAATAAAAAACACAATGAAAATGTACATAGTATAACGTGAACAATATAGAAGACCCTCATTAAATGGAACCTGAAGGGACCAGGAAATTGAGTTCTATTTAGGAGGAGTTTTGTCAAGCGAGACAGCAGCAGCGGTGCACAATTGAAGCACGAAGCCAATCGTACTTGAGGCAGTTGTTCCATTTAAAGTATTTCCGTTTACTACAGCTGTACTGTATCATTGAGAGATGCAGCAAAAGGGGGCTCTATATCAATTTTTCATAACTGTGGTTCTTGAACGTGCACCTGAGCCTACTAGGTACACGGACATTCTTTCAACGTAAATAATCAAAAGACAGTTTTCTGGTTGGAAAATAGATTGAAAGTAAACAGAGGGAGAGATCGCATATCCTTACCAACTTTCAATAGATCATCCACTTTCCTCAGAGACAAAACGTCCATCTTGCAATCAACAAGGCATGGATAAGTGCTCTAAATATTGTTTGTTCTGAATGCAAATTTTCTGCAATCCGCAATATGAATAATCTTTATGAAGTCAAAATTACAATGTAAACACTTTCCAGGGCATCTCAACCGTGGGAAAGTCTGCCCAACATCAATCTACAAAGAATGATAGAGGAACTCTCGAAGACACATGTCCGTAACATTGAACCAGTATTACTAGTCTTGGAGGTTGAAAGAAATTCGGCTGAATGTCTATTTTTAGAACTCCGCCCTAACGAAACAAGAAAGATGTATTTCGGGTGTTCAAACTGCACTCTTGCACTTTTTGCATGAAGAAGGTCTCTGCAGTTTCACTGCAAGCTTCGCAGGAGGACAAATGTGAAAGGTATAAGAGTGACAGTGCTAGAATGACCATTTTCAAGCTAGCTAGAGTCCAATCGTCAGGTATTTAGGATTGTATACTTTTCGTGAGTGTCAAACGCAGCTGCTTATTTCAAAATGAGTGTTCTTGAATTTCGCTCCTATTCAAATGTAGTAGCCATGTCTGGCAATAGAGGATGCATCCCCCAGCTTAGCAACAAAACCTTTCGATCTGTCAGCCAGCACAACGGTTTCCTCAATGTCGTAGATACCGAGCAGAAAAATAAAAACAAAAATCTTCAAAGTGTGATACTATACCAAGCATGCACAAATAGTCACTGGGACCAGCTACAAGTTAGTATTCATGTGGTAAGCACAAAAACGAAAAGAGCGAAGGTACTACCTTTCCTGTGCAAACCCAGCCTCCCTTTTCGTACACGTTGAAAAAAGTAAGCCGTGAACTCGTCAGTCTCGATTGTACTGCAAATAAAATGGAAACATCTTCATGATCTCTGGTAAATGAGTTTCAGTCGCACTATTCTGCTATGGCAGTTCACTGAGGCAACAGTCTGGGTTTGTCGGTGTGACGTAACACAGGGCAAACGCACAGAAGACGAGGACACTGAAGAGGCTTTACACACAAGAGCGCATGCAAAGCCTCTTTTCTGTCCTAGTCTTCTGCATGACATGCTATGGGAGGAACATGCCTGAATGAAACAAAAAGGCACCTGCACTAGTGGTGCCAAGCAAGAAGGTATAGCAGAGCTTGGCGTCCTGCCAAGTTCATGTCAATTTCTTTTGTTTGTTTGTTTTTCCTCTTTTGTACGTGTTGTTCAAGAGTCCGAATTTCTGTCTGTATCAAACAAGTCGCGGGCGGTTCAAAATTAAAAATTAAGCAAAAGCTCCTGCAAATGAATGTGCCAGTACACTGCTTGAAAGGATCTTCAAAGGATAAGTACAAACTTGCACGCCAGCCTTATACATGTGAGAGGGCGATTAGCTGCAGGTTGATAAATATGAGAAAGCTAATAGAGTTTAATCTGAATGAATGACGTCAATAGGACCTGTTGACAAATTCTCAAGCCTTTCACCCATACATCACCGTAATAACTGAAACGTGCTTTTATGACAGCGACGTTTTCCCACCTTCCCATGGGGCATTTTTTAAGGACAGGCAATGAAGGGGAGATTGTGTGGTCGTCCTACTAACACAAACTTAATGCTGCCTTGTTGGAGGATCTACCAAAACTTAAATGTATTTGTGTTAAAGTAAATTTGTGGGGCCACTCATCCATCTCATGTGCACTATATATACCCCCAGACTCATCTCCTGAATAACCATTAAAATAAACGCACTCATGTATGAATTCCAGGACAGCAAATTTATTTTGATTGGTGATTTCAATCTGCCCGTAGTAGATTGGGAACGTTTTGAATCATTGTAGCCAATTTCAGTAATGCAAATTTAGTGTTCGACATCATGCTCACACATAGTTTGATACAATTGGTTCATGAATCAAAACATTACCGGGACACTGCTAAACCTATTTTAGATTTGGTAATTATTCCTCGTGATTACAGTATACACACCAGAGTAATTGATCAAGGGTTGTCTTATTTCTACCTCGTTTCATATTCTATCCTTCTGGTAGCACTTTCAAAACTGCAAGCTCGTCTTTTCATTGAATGAAAGGCTATACACGTGCAAAGAACGCTTTCAATATCGACCACCCAAAAACGTGTGTGGTAGACTTTGTTGGCACTGATGTTCGCAGATCGTTAGTTAGTTAGTTACCTTGGGTTTTAAGGCGCAAAAGCAACAATGGCTATGATGCGCCAGACACTGGGTGATTTTGAAAATGTGGTTAAAACGTGAGGTGA